CGAAAAACGTATTCCCAGAATACGCCTGTTTGATTTTGGTCCACTCATTTTTTTTTTCTTTTATTTTTGTCCAGTTAATTTTTTTTATTTTTAAATAAATAAACTACCCTACTATGGGGTGTTGAGTTGTGAAGCATTTTCTTTTTACTACTATATCTTAATGGCTTGATTGTTTACCAAATAATTCATTCAAAATTAGTTATTTTGGATAAATAAAGTTAATTTTGAAAGATATATAGTATGGTTAACTGTTAGTGGGATTTTAAGAATGTATTAAAAATAATATTTGAAATAAATAATTAATATTGATGGTACCAGCATTGCATGCTTGGTGACCTTATGCTCAGGGTCACAGGTTCGAATCCTGGGGAGGGCAAAAACCACACTTGAGCAGTGTGGAAGGCCATGAGTCCACTGTGGGACTCATTCGAGTCGGTGGGTCCCCCGGGGCACGAGCCAGTCAGGACCACGGCTAGACTGGGCTCACCAGGCAGGGCCACGGCTAGCCTGGGCTGGGGGGGCTGAGGGTTAGTTGAACCCTCATCAAAAGATTTGATATAAAAGTAGGAGACAAATGATTGGAAATGATAGGTATTTGAAATTATGTGAGTTGATGAATAGTGAATAAAGTTGATGTAATGTGTAAGAATTATTAGTTTGTATTATTTAATTGTATGAATGATATTAAGGATAGTGGAGGTTGAGTTAAAGTTGAGTTAGACTTTGAATATGAAATAAATGTGAGTAAATTAATTTGTAAAACATCAAGCTTTGTTCTCGTTTATTTTTTTTAATTAAAACTTATACTTTTTTTCATTATATTTTTAAAGTTATAAGTTTTATTTGTATCCCTCTTTTATTGAAACAATAAATGGGGCTTCTTAACGAGGATCGCCAATGGATCTTAATTATAGAACTTAAGAGTGATTTAGAATTGTTTATGTGAGGAACAGATGAGAATTATTCTATTAATAAACATAAACTATTAATAAATGTTAAATGAACCTTGAAATCTTCCAAAACATAAAGAAGTAAAAACCAGTGAAAAATTATTCCAAAGACTAAGATATCACACTCGTTGTACGAGCCACAATTCAGATGACGTCGATCATCCCCAAGCCTTCAGCGGCCACCAATCGACCCAGTGCTGCATATCCACCGACGTTCGTCTTTTCAGGGATACATGGCCATCGTCGTTATCCTATAGCCAGTCTGGTCGAACCAGTCATCGGCTATCACGAAACAACCATCAAATCGAGTTAGTGGCCACAACTCCACAAGATCGCTAGATTGCTAATGTCTGTTTCACCGTTCGCCTCAGGTTTGTTGTCGGCTTTGCAATTGACAAAGATTACTCGTCAATCAACCACCATTCACGACTCGTTGCCCGAGTCACCGCCTCATTATCCACCATCGGTTGGCGGAACCCTCTGTTGCTCCGCCCGTCGCTAATTGACACCTACATAATTCCTTCGACCACCCATCACGTTCCAGATCAAGGCCTTGAAACCGCCGCCGTTAGACGAGCCACATATTTGATGTGCCGCCCCTGAAAGCCACCACTCTGAAGCCCGCGCGCCATGAATATGAGCCATTAATGTGTATTTTTAATTTTAGTTGTAATATAATTAAAATTATATTATTTAATTAATGTGTATTTCAAATAATATGAGTCAATTATTTACACAAAATACAAAATAAATGCCTACGATTTTAAAAAGAGGTCTCATTGAATCCACTCATATATATGTATTATTTCTCTCCTATTTATGGAAAGTGTTAAATAGAAATGTAAGACTAATGTAAAACAACCTGTTTTCGGCTAACTGCTTCCATTCGCAAATACTTAAGTGCACCTTGGCACACATTGCTAGGTGTGCCAAGGCACACGGTAGTAGCACTAGCTTCCATTGGATGTGCACTATCGTATCAACACTCACATCATCAGACTTGCCAGTTTTGAATCGTTTTCTTAAACATGTTTTGACTTATAAATTTGGAAACATTTTCTTTTATCACATACGCTATTATATAAACACCACCTACATATCGTTTCATTTACATCATGACACAAGCAAGCAAGTAAAATTACAAGTTAACAATTTCCTTCTTAGGCCAGTCCCTATAACAACCTCTTGCCGGATTTTTTTTTTTAAAAAAAAAAAAAAAAAAAAAAAAAAAACTAAACTTATAGCCACCATCAAATACAGCTGACCACCTCAGATGATTACTATCTCATACTTCACTAATCAAATTTCGCTTAAAAATGAGATCTATAAGATAAGAAAATGCTTTCCGGCCCAATTTGTGCTCTCACGGCCAAGCTGCAACACCGCCTACACAGCACTCTGTGCGTGCTTCAGCTTGAATGTGTGCCTCAATCCTCGTCTGTGAGTGTGTTTTCCATGCATCTGAAAGAATTTTTTCCAATAATATTCTGGGTTTTTTAGCTCAATAGGGCTAACTTTCCGCAAAACTATAAATAACAAAATAAATGAATAAATAAATAAAATTGAAGGCCCGTGGTAACTTGAAGATGTCCGACAAATAACAAAACAAAATGAATCTGAGAAGCTCTTCAACCAACAAATATACTACCATGGATTGAAATCAGAAACCAAACATTTTAGTTAAGTATTAGGAGACCCACGCTTACTTCAGCAAAGTAACTATTCTAATCGTAGCAAGATTGAACTTGTTTTTCATGTTTCCTCGATCTTGATCAAATTCGATCCAGCAGTTTATTCAAACAATGTTACTTCTTCAGAAAAATATCAATATATAGAAATTTACAGATTTGTAAACCAAATCTGGCTCAAGGAACAGTACATACTTTGTTCAGATCATATCTTGTTGGTCATTTTTTTAGGAATAAGATCTGAACAAGAAGCCCCTCTGAGATGTCTGTTCCTATACCAAATGTAGCACAAGGAACCGTACACACTTTCTGAATGTGCAAACACTTGTTACAGTTCCCTCAAAAACTAGTTACTTCAGTACGATCTTCACTTGCTTGGTTTAGATCATCAAAACTTCTTCATGGTCAAAAGCACCAAAAAGGAAAGAGGGTAGTGAAAAAGGTACCTGGGATTGACTTTGTAAAGGAAAAGATGCCGACTCTATTTGAATCGTGAAGTGAAGCATGCAACCCCACATATGTCAAATATGGACGTTGTACGGCTGCCATAAAAGACTACAACCTTCAGATTTCTGTTTGCCTGAATCCATCTTCTGGTTCGTGTCAGAAAGCTGGCCGCTGGACGTGCTGAATGAGTTGAACGGCGATAGTCTGGAAAGCATGCCTCATTTCTTAGTTTTGGATGAGTCTTTATTCGGCTTGTTTCCCGGGCCTGCGTGCATGCACAGGATGTTGCACGACTTCAGAAGCAGGGAGTTTGCCCAGGTGGCCGAACCATTTTTCAGCTTAGCAGAAAAAGATTCTCACACTCTGTACAACTTATTCTGGTTTAATGCTAAAGGAAGCACCTAGAGATTCCTTACCGCTACAGGCTTTTAAAACAGCCCAAAGTTCTGATTCGGAAAGAGAATTAATGAGCTGATGATTAGACATATGACCTTGTGATCTGTGCCCAGCTTGCCACCCGAACTGGTCTCCCTAACTAAACACCTGTCCTTGACTAGTGACTAGAACAGCGTGTCCACTGCCAGAAACAATATGTTTGCATTGAGTGCTGAAGTAGATTCCAGAACCTTCAGAGAAAATGCATCCTCGATGCCATTGAGGCACTGGAAGAACTGAGTTGGAAAGTATAAGCAGAGTTTCTCCAAGAGCATTTTCATTTACCATTCCCGAAACAAAACCACAATCTCTCTGTGGGGACAGTGGGGATGACATCAGAAAGTAGTTTCTCCAGTCTTTTCGTGGGCATTCTAACAGATGCTAGGTCAATTATTTGAGGTTTCTCTTTATCCTAAAAATATTATGATTTTGAATCAGATGCAATGCTAGAAAGTTGAGAAATTGAATAGAAACAAACTCCATGAAGCGCACCTTCACTGCTATTTGATCACTTCAATATCTTCACAATGAGGAGTCTCTCCTAGTTTCAGTTCCTTCCCCACAAAACCAATGCAAAATCAATGTCCTCAGGGCCACGAACTAGATCTCAGCTTCAGACTTGTAACTTGACCAGAAGGGTTTCGGGAAGAAGTTAGTATAAAGTTTTACTCATCATATATATACTAGTTTCAATATTTCAGCAATTTTTCTAGCGAAAAGTATGCAAGAGGAACAGTATTGATATGAATAAGTAAAGTCAATGGCAGAAATCAAGCACATAAGCAAGCAATTTAAGTAGCATGAACAATCATTTTTAAAGGTACCGTAAAGTTGTTTATACATATTATAATTCATTTGGATCAATTGAAGAAAAACAAACTCAACTGCAATATTTCATGTTGGTATTTGTTAGATCCACTTTTCTGATTCTAGTTACACCTCAATTAAATAGCCACTAGCGGAGCGGAGCTTAATCGTATTTTCCTAATTAATGGGTTACTGAAATGAGAATATTAGATATATTATATAAACAAAATATACTCAAAATATACGTTGAAATATTACTTAAGAGTTACTTTGGCACTAGGAATTTCAGAAATGGATTCTCATCCTGACTTTTTAATTTCATGAAGCCAATCGTTCAGCCCCAAGAAGAATAAATGCAAGGTTATAGGCACAGTAGTTGTTACAACAAGAACTGAAGTTCTAAGTTTCATGAAGACAATACATTAATCCGAATCACCAAATGTAACTGAGATGCTGGTATGTACCTGTTGACAACAGCTGGAGACAACGGATCAGTTGATAAGTTTCTTCACTATGATAGAATCCTGAAAGAACTTTAGATATATTACATTGGAGAAAAAATATTACACTAAAATAATACTGCAACTTATCATGATACGACCATTACTCACCATTATGTCCCAGCTCAATCTCCACAATATTACAGCTATCCTCGCACTTGGTTTTCCAGAATTCCTAACTGAGTAAACAGTTAAGAATACTCATTTCTAGAACCTTGAAACATTTTATACCCTCGCATTTTCTTCACCAGCTTCTTGTCTCTAATGGCATCATATAAAATCTCATAAGCATAGTAAGTTATATGTGATTTCTTCAACAAGTCCTCCACAACTATCTTGGGGGCCGCAATTTCTTTCTTATCTACTTCAAAGATCGTGTTCACAACATCAGGTACAATTCCCTTGTGCACCATATGGTACACAATTTCAACTGCCTCACGAAGTCTGTGCTTTACACACAGGCAATTCAAAACTCGCCCAAATGTCACTAGGGATGGCACAAACCCTTCAGATATGCAGTCAAGAAGAAAATGGTGTCCGTAGTCAGTGTTTCCAGACTTGCAAAACCCATCTATCATACATCGGTAAGTGTAGTTATCAGGTGGGCACCCGTTTTCACTCATTTCACGAAATAGCTTTACTGTCATATCCATGTTTGCCATTTCCGAAAATGCATTGATCAGGATATTATAAGTCGCCAATGTAGGTGGGAGTTTATAGTGCTTTTCCATTTTACGGAACAACGAGTAGGCTTCTTCCATATTCCTGTTCTCACGAAATCCATTAATCAACGTGCAAAAAGTTACTATATCTGGACATAATCCAGTTTTCTGAATCTCACTGAGAAATTCCAAAGCTCTCGTGACTTTACGAGCTTTGCAAAAGCTCTCAATCAATATATTATAAGTTATCACATTAGGCACACAACCCTTTTTCATCATTGATTTAAAGGTTTCAAAAACGTCATCTGCATGTGAAGTCTTGCATAACCCATCCAATATAGTGTTATATGTGATTATATCCGGAGTGATATTATGCTCCCACATGACGTCGACAATTTCAAGTGCCTCGCCCATCTTCAACTGTTTGCAGTAGCCATCAATCAAAGTATTAAATGTGAATATGTCGGGAAGGAACCCTTTGTACAGTGCACCATTCATAAGAATACTCGCATCATTTAAACAGCCCAGCTTACACATGCCATTTATTATCAAATTATAAGTCCAAATACTGGGAGAGCAGCCATTTTGCCCCATGCCGTTCATCACCTCAAGGGCTTCTAATACGAGCCCCTGCCGGCAGAGTCCTTTAATCAAACCGTTGTACAAAACAACACTAGGTTTTACGCCTTTCCTATTAGCTTCATTGAATATGCTTATGGCCTGGTCAATATCACCATTCTCACACAAGCCATACAGTAAGGAGCTGTATGTGAACTCGTCCGGCACAAACCCTCTATGTACCGCATCAAGAAGAATCTTGTTCGCCTTTTGCACCAGATTGAGTTTGCAGTACCCATCAATTATTGTGTTGTAGGTGAAAGCATCAGGCTCAAAACCACTATTAACCATTTTATTCATGCAGTTCTCGGCCTCGGCCACTTTCGAGTTCTTACAAAAACCACGTATAAGCGTATTATACGTCACGACATCTGGGCAAAGACCATCTTTAGTAACACTGTCCAACATCCGGCCAGCATGATCGAGAAGGCCTTTCTTGCAAAGGCCTTGAATGAAAATGTTAAATGTGAATAAATTAGGTAACACACCCCTCTTGAGAATCTTATCCAATAGTATTTCACTCTCTCTTATCTCACCCCTCTTACACAGAGGGTGTATCAGCTTATTGAATGTGGCAACATTAGGGACAATGCCAAGTCCAAGCATCTGGCCAAACAACTCATATGCTTCTACCCTATAATCTCCCTCATAAAATCCACCAATCACTGTACAGTAAGCCACAGAGTTAAATTCACAGCCCTGAGCTGGCATGTTCTTCAGAAGCCTCAGAGCAGCATGAGGCCTATTTGTTCTACAAAACGATTTAATCCTAATTGTGTATGTATACACATCTGGTGCAATATTTTTATCTTTCAGTCTCATATAAACTTTGTGAGCCTGCTTAAAATATCCATTCTCCACCAAAATGTTCATAATGACATTATAAGAATAAACAGTGGGCTCGCAATTGTAGAAATCCATCCTCTCAAATATGTCGACAGCTTCTTGAATTTTCCTATTCTTGCCGTAATTCCTCATGACACTAATGTATACGCCTTCAAGCACGCTGTTATCCAGATTTTCCCTCATCTCCACCATGAGATTCTCCATAGCCTCAAATTCACCAGAATTGCTGAGCTTTTCAACCATGGATTTGTAAGTTTGTAAAGTGTGTCGGTAGCCATCTTCCTTTTTAATGGAATTGAACATCTCCAAAGCCCTTAAAGGGTCCTTTTGGTACCTTATGACGGCGGCTACATGTTTAGACAGGACAGAAGAGCCCATTTCACTCCGTGATTTCTAATCTATAATTGAGCAAAGTCCGTTACACTCATTTGAATATCAAGCTCCAAGTTGCATACTTTCACTACTGAACTTAGAATGCAAACAATAATCATCAACTTCCCCAGGAATAAAAGATCTTTGAATCTATAGAATGCGTTTCTCCCCCAGTCTTCCCGCATCTGCAAGCATTAGGCAACATGTTAATCTACATTACTGAACATTGAAAGGATTTATTACGTGATATAAACTGACGAACTAATCAATATAACAAGAAAGACCAACTCACTACTCACTTGTTCATTGATTCACTATAATTTTGTCAATTAAAATATAACAATATCAGTGAGCATAGCCAACGTGATGACAAGACATTACGGATACAAACTTCAGGAGTACACAACTTCAACAAGGCATGATATCTTACTTAATATAAGATCACAAGACAAGAGTATAGTTCCCAAAATCATCTTCTACCAGCATCGTGGCGGGAAAATGTTAAGAGGCATCTCCACAAATAAACTACAAACACATTTAACATTATCTCAGAAGACATATTACTTATTATTTCACTCATCTAAGCTATCTATGGGTATAATTGACTTCATTAACTAGTTATAAAAGTAGCCTTCAAGATGCAACATAAGTCTCTTTCACATACTTCACAAAATTTTAAGTTCCTACAAAAATATTTGAATTTAAACTAGCAAGCATTAACAAAAAGCATACTGAATCAAACACTTCACGCTCTACTAATAATTATGAAAAGAGCCACAGCTACTTTTTGGAACATTATGACTGTAGTAGAACTACATACACCTTAATGTAACAAAATCGATAATCAAATTCCATGAAAGTAGAAGAGTCGAGAACACTGAGATTGGAAAAGTCCCTCATTGAAGGTTATTCATCAAAGGTCAAAGTCGTAAGACACAATTTTTTAACCTGAAAAGGTGACGAACCACGCAGGTCCTATCCAAGGTTTCTTCAACCAAACGATGAATAGTTTCTCTCTGATAGACTCCTTCGAGTTTCTCTCGTTCAGTAGCAGCTAGTTCCTAGGCTAAGAGGCTGCAGGAATCTCCTCCTGTGGCGAACGGAGGGTCACTCGTCAGATCTCAGTCAGGTGCCCAGCTTCCGGAACATCATCGCCGCCGCCATCGGAGGTGTCGAATTTTTCCAGTAGGAGGTGTCGAATTTTTCCGGTCGGAGGTGTCGACGGCCGCGCCGATCAAAACTGCCTTACTGGTGGCCTTCGTCCGGCGAAACAATTTAAACAATATGAAAGGGGATAATTCATTTGGGAGAAATTAATTGAAATAATTACCAAAGTATATTTTTAAATTCTTTTTTTTATTTGGACAAATTACAATTCTATACTTTAATGGATCCTATTTATTAAATATAATAGTTAGAAAAATCAAACTTAATTAATAAATTTTTAATTTTATCAAGTATTTAATTAATGCATCTAATATTTTGGGTATGCAAATCAATTAGCATTTAATTAGTTCCTAAAATATTGGGTATGCAATATTAATTTAAGAATATCCATGTAGTTCCTAAAATATTGGTATGCAACACGTAAAAGAAGAATTTTTATTTTATTTTCAATATAAAATATTGCAACACGTAAAATTATTTCAGTTATTTTTTATTTTATTTTACATATTAAATTTAACCAATATTTAATGCATCTTACAAAATTGGATTTACTTTAATTCTCCATACAATTGGTTGTAACTTTTTCAGTTGTACTTTATTTATTTATTTATTTTACACTTTTAAATTAATAAAGCTCTCCGAAAACCAATTCAAATGATTTATGGTTTTTTTTTTTTTTTTTACAATTTTAATACTATATACCCAGCTCAAAATCTCATTGCATAAATATGGACGAGTTTAAGAAAATTTCATAACAAAGGTTACAAAATTCCATCTCCACGAATCAAAAAAATCACATTCCTCATCTATCGTAACAATTTTAAAAATAAACAAATAAAAGTCTAATTACTACTATATCAAACTGAGTTTCAACCATTTTGAAAAATGACTTAATATGAATGAGTGTTTCTGTCTTGTACTTCATTAGGTAAACCCATGTAGCCCTTGTAAAATCATCTACAATTGTGAGCATGTAGGAAGTGTTTGTCAGTGAATCTTCATGGTGTGGCCCCCACACATCCATATGAATGAGCTCAAACTTCATCTTGCTTTGTATGTAACTGAGAGGGAAAGGCAGCCTACACTGCTTTGATCTGTGACATATGTCACATACATTTAAATCCAACTTAGAACAATCTCCCTTAATGAAATTCAAGAGTTTTAAGCAACCAGCAAATGTATGTCCCAGTCTCTTATGCCACAGAGTTAACTCATTATCTTCAATAGACTTCATCTCAACAACATTTAGACATACATTGTGTCCATCCATGACATATAGCCCCCCAACTGCTCTTCCCACAGCTATAACTGAACCAGTATTCCTTTCTTTCAGTTCACATCCATCATTTTTGAAAACAAAGATCATCCCATCATCTTCTATTAGCTGTCCCACAGACAGCAAATTATACTTGAATTCTGGTATTATCAAAACATCCCTGAGAACAATTTTGTCATTGAACTGCACTTCACCCATTTGATCCACTTTTACCTTGGAGCCATCTGGTAGGTTGACTGTAATAGGAGAAGTCACCACTGTCCTCTTGTTCATCATCCCAATATCACAACAAATATGCTTGCTAGCTCCAGTGTCGATGATCCAGCCACCTTTGTTAAATCTGCTTCCCAGAGAAAATGCACAATCCTCCATTTCATCAGCATGGTCTACAAAATGTGAATATGTGTGAGTTTCTGATGTTTGCTGATTTGACATATATTTGGCCACTTCTTTTTGGATTAATGAACTTATATCACCCAATGAGCCACTGTGTTGTGACTTGGTTTCTGAATCTCCCATTGAGGACCTTGAGGATTCATCTTTGTCTGCCATGTTGACACTTTGTGATTGTCTCTGGTCCCTCAACTCCCTATACCAATCCGGGTAGCCATTTATCTTGAAGCATCCCTTTACTTCATGGCCATTGAAACCACAATGAGTACAATATAACTTTGCGCTTTCTTCTTTAGTCAATCTTGGACCACCCCTTCCCCTTCCTCCAATGTTTGTTGATTGCGCTGTAAAACCTCTTCCACCTTTTACAAAACCCCTGTCTCTGTCATTTCCTCTACCATATCCTCCTCTTACCAAAATAGCTGAAGTTTCCAATTGACTGAAAGCTCCACTGTCCAAACTCTACTGTTTTTCAACTTTCAAAATCATTGAGTATGCCTTATTTATGGTAGGCAGTGGGTCCATCAGCAGTATCTGGTTCTTCACTTGCTCAAACACCTCATTTAACCCCATAAGAAACTGCATAAGCTTTGTTTCCATATCAATATCATTGAAGGCTTTCATGGTTCCACATATACATTCAGGCAAAGTAGTAACACAAGAATACTCATCCCATAGGCATTTCAATTTCGTATATTATGCAGTAACTGTGAGTGAGCCTTGAGAAAATGTGGCAATTTCTTTCTGTAGCTGATATTTAAGAGGCCATTGCTTTCTCCATATCGTTCGGCCAATTCATCCCAAAGTTGCTGTTTGTCCCATTTTTGTTGCGTTTTTCGTTGTCTCTTTGTCTTTCTTTGGCCGCGCGTCGCAACGCGGCAAAATTAATATTTATATTTTCCTCGACTAACCTCTACTAACTAGTAGTAGTGGCGAGTAAGGGTCGATCCCACAGGGAGTGTGAATCGAATCGTGAATTTTCTCGTATTAATTGAATTTATGAAAGCAATAAAAAGAGGGGGGATTTGAATTAATAACTAATCTATCTAAGAATGAAATCAAAACAATAAAAATAAAAATAATATAAAATAAATAAGAGAAATTTCTAGTTCACGGTTCTGTCTACACCCTTGACTGACTCGCCTAATCAACTTTGGAATCAAATCTTGCTATCTTATGAAATTACTAGCCCTAGGCAACGACACGGTCTGTTACCCGAATTTTTCCTTATTTTTAATCTAACCGCGAGACGCTCTACGATTAGACATGACTTCTTGTACAGTCTAGAAAACGCTTCTTAGATTTAATACAATCAGCCGCTTTACGAATTAGAAAAATAGGCTAGACTAAGTAGTGAACTCAACCGCGTTCGTTCACTTAAATAGGTCGTGTTATCCCTGGTAGTTACCATCTTCCGGTAGCCTCTAATTGATTAAACATATCAACAATTACGGATTGACAGTTGAATCTAGCAGTAGATGTGAAAAGCCTAGTCTAGGTGATCAAGCTAAACAAGACTCAACAAATCAGGGTTAATAATTCAAAATAACACAAACAATTCCGAAAGACATTGAAATTATCAACAGAAAATTAATCAAACATTCGTCGAGTCTTAGGGTTTAACTTCCCCGGAACTAGAAAGAAAAACTACTCTAACATAATAAATAAATATAAAAATAAAAGAAAGAGAATAGAATTATCCTCTTTCGTGTGCGGGTGCGGCTTCCCTCCGCTTCCGTCGGATTCCCCGTATCTACCCGCGTTCTCTTTTCCTCTGTTCTGCGTCTCTGTGTGGCCGCTCTGTTTTTTGCTGTTGTACGTGAATTGTATGAAAATAATTCCTCCTGGCCCCAAAATCCTAAGTGCCGTGAAATAAGTCATAAAGTGGGCTAATTCATGTAAACTTTTGGGCCCCACTTAATATCTCATATATCCCAAACTCTCAAAATCATGAGTATTGCCCATTTGTCATATGTACAAGTCCCTTCAATCCAAAATATTCTTATTTGTATTGAGTCCTTAATTAATTCCACGAGCAGATAACTTTTACGGGCCATTGTCCATTTTGCACAGCGGTATTAACACCCGGATAATTGATCCCGTGAAATTTTGTGTCCTATTCTAAAATCCTGAAATTAAATCATAAAAATATCATAACACTTAATCCATC